TTGATGTTAATAAATAAAAAATCGTGAGACTGTTGAGATGTCAACTAAGAATATTTTCTATTAACTAATAGTTAGGTCTCATCCAATCAACAATTATCGAAGAAGAAACAACCATTGACCAACTCCCACCATCACCAGCTCTCCTTGTAATAAGTGGTCCCTATGAAAATAATTCTTTAAAGACACTTGTGGACCTGTCCTTTGAAAGCTTTCTAACAACCAGGACTGCATACAACCCAATAACGGGAAATAAAATTTTTAATTTCAAATCGTTGGTATCTTATCCAAGCTCATCCTCAAGGTAAATTTTGAAATTTCTCTTTTTTTAACCGTTGTATAAAAAATCTTAATGTATGTCAACTTGTAGGTTTAACAGAATCAAAGATCACCTACAAAAAACCATCCTATCAATTGTTGGAAAAAAAGTACAATGTTCGACTACCATATCTCATTCACATGTGCACGCGTCAGACATCGAATTCAACTATCCAAACAGCAACGAGGATACACCTCAGGACAAAAACGATTCAAATGACAACTCAACCATCAACACCATATACAAAAAAATCGAAGAATCGTATGCCAGGCCCAAAGTAACAAAAACAAGGAAGAGAAACGTTGTCATCAACAACAATGAAAAAAGAGACAAAAAACAAAAATTCGCAGCAGTTGTAAACACAATCCAAACTGATAACGATGGTGACAATACTGGTAATGACAGTGGTGATGATACTGTTGATGAGAACGAGAACAACAATATTATTAATATTGAAAATGATAATAATCATGATGAACAATAATTTTAATGATGACGATTTTGAATTTTTATTTTTATTTTTATTTTACATTTACACCTTAAATATTCAAAATTGAAACTAAGCAAATAAAAATAAAATAATGATAAAATTGAAACGTTTTAGATGTTATTATCATCTCCCTTACCCATTGTTACCTTATTAAAGTTAAAAACATTTTGATCATTGTCCCATGTCCACTGTTACCTTTTGATCATCTAAATAAAACAAAGTTGAAAACGTTTTGGCTATTGTCCCTTATTCATTATTACCTAATGTGTGAATTAACCATGTATAAGAATAAATCTTAACCCAATTGTGATAAACAAAGAATTATATCTTTGCATAAATTAACCTCTTTTTTTCCAATTGATTCTTTTCCTATAAGCGAAAAAAAAAAAACAATCTACAAAAAATTATCAATAAACCATTTCAAAAACCAAAAATAAAAATTATCAACCTGTTTGTCATTTACTGCTATTGAAAGATGTCCAATCACAACGTCCAACATTACCGTTTCATCACATCCACATCAGATCACTATGAAGAAAATTCAAGAAATTCTGAAAATAATAATGATTTCACCATTTTTCAACCTTACATCCACCGAAGTGAAATAAATCAAAATTTGTCAAATAATCCCAACCTTCATGTTAGCAATGAAAAAGATCTTAGTTCTTATCTTTGCTCCGCTCCTGAAATTAAGCAATCGCTGTTTAAACCACTGTGTTTCTTCTTTCTTCTCTATTGTTTGTCAATTGTTGTTTTCTCTGTCATCAATTAGTCGTTTTCATTTACTTTATATTTTATTTTTATTTTTATTTTTTTATTATTATGTATATATATATACAATAAAAAATTAATATTTTTCTTTTTTTAAAATTTATCATTCTGATCTG